TGAGTCTCTGCCACCCATGTAGGAGCCAGATGGAGTTCTGGACTCCTGACTTCCGTCTGGCCTAGTCTTCGCTGTTATGAGCATTTGGGAAGTGAACCAGCAGATGGGAGATTCTCTCTCTCTCTCTGCCTTACAAAAACAAAATGAAAATAAGTTAAAATAAACTTTCTAAATATTCAGTTTTTTCTTTCTTCTTTTTTTTTAAAGATGTATTTATTTATTTGAAAGTCAGAGTTACAGAGAGAAAGAGAGGCAGAGGCAGAAAGAGAGAGAGAGAGTTCTTCCATCCGCTGGTTCACTCCCCAATTGGCCGCAATGGCTGGAGCTGTGCCAATCCGAAGCCAGGAGCCAGGAGCTTCTTCTGGGTCTCCCATGTGGATGCGGGGGCCCAAGGACTTGGGCCATCTTATACTGCTTTCCCAGGCCATAGCAGAGAGCTGGATCAGAAGTGGAGCAGCCGGGACACAAATGGGGGCCAAAGGGGATGCTGGCACTGCAGGCGGCGGCTTTACCTGCTATGCCGCAATGCCAGCCCCAAAATATTTGTCGCTCCCTTGCCCGCAAAGGAATGACGTTGCTGCGGCTTATCGGTCTTGGTAGACTTTTATTTAAACAGGATAGAAAAAGAAACCCTTGAGCAAGGGGAGCTCCGGAAGAAAGGGGAAGCTCCTGTTACTATTCCACGAACGGCTTATATAGTATACATTGCAGAAGCATGTAATGCAAGCTTAGTCCATGCTACAGTCCATGCGGCGGCGCTCCAATCGGGTGCCTGATCATGCACAGTCCATGCGCTCCTTGTCCAACCATAAAGGTGATCACGTGTCTTCATCCAATCAAGCTCCTGGTCACGTAGCAGGCGGCTCGGACGCCAGCAGAAAGCTTATCGTTGCTCCACCTGGTGTTTTCTCAACTCTTGGTCAGCGGGAAAAGAAGTATGGGAAGTCCCAAGGCCGTAGTTGTAGACTCAACCCTGGGGTTATGGAAAGGTCCCGATATCGCAGCTCAACAGAACCCGTAAACATCCACACGGCAGTAACTATTGCAAACGGTCAGCAAGCTAAGCCTTAGCATGTGGGCCCATGGCCGGCTCATGGGTCCCCACAATATTCATTCCTGATAGGAGGGGACAGTGTGAGAGACTTCCTGAGATAAAACCTATATACTGACACTCTCTGCTGATGCTGTATAGAAGAGCCCGTTTTTCTCTGCCCCAGCCCTAACAATTCCTCACAACCACAGGTATTCACTTTTTAAATTATCTTCTGCTAGAATGTAAGCCCCATGAAGGCAAGACTTTTATCTTTATTCTCCGATGTTTTCAATACCTGGAATGGTGCCTGGAATATAAAAGGCACTCTAAAATATTTGTTAAACCAATAAAAGAATGCCTAATGGTTCTTAGTTCCAGTTCCCGCCTTTGATCACGTGCATGACGCTGGAGAAGATATTTCCTTTCCAGGGATATCATTTGAACAACAAAATATTCAGCCAGAAAATCCCCTCCAATGATTCGACGTGTATGTACACAGTGAACCGTGTGTGTAACGAATCAGTCACTGGCTAACCATCACGTGTCCTGGCTGCCGGCACTTCCTGGTTCCCTTTTTCCTGTGCAGAGAACTTACTACCTCGTGAGCCCTGCCTCTCCGAGAAGGGGACCAGAGGCTCACCCAGCCAGCTAGGGTTGAGCCCTACGACTTGGGTTCTGCCTGGGAGATGCACTTCCGGTAGTTTTAAAAGGTAACAGAAGGCAACTGTGCAATCTTCTTGCTTGCAGGGAGGCCGCAGGCACACAGTCTGTGCTCTCCAGGGCCTCCCTAACCCCTGGGTGCACAAGGCTGGGCTGTGTCCCAGAGCAGCTGGGGCTCTGCTGGTGTCGTCTCCAGGTGTGACTTGGGCTTGGGGCTGATATTCCTGTCTACATGGCCCCTAAGCCACTCATCTCAAGGTTCCACCCAGGTCCCCCATGTGGGTGCAGGAGCCCAAGCACTTGAGCCATCATCCACTGCTTTTCCAGGTGCATTAGCAGGGAACTGGATGGGAAGTGGAGCAGCTGGAACTCAAATTGGTACTCCAATATGGAATACCAGTGTCCTGGATGGTGTCTTACCCTGCTACGCAACAATGATAGCCCTTCTATTTTTTTCTTTTGTAGAGCTGTGAAACTGAAATTAGGTTAATTTGTAATGTTGCTGGAAGATGAAACCTTGAGCTGATACCTTAATTCCTATTGTGGAGGAAGATAATAAGAGATAGCAAAATGAAGTACAAAAAGGAAACCTTTCTCCTACTATCCACAGGCCTAAGGAAATTACAGCCCAGCAGGATATAATAACTGACACTCTAACAATGAACTTTGGTTCCAGAGATTAAATTATGGCCTACATACTCAGTGTGGTTTTTCCACAGAAATATTGTATTTAAATACCTTTCTATCAAAAATGGTTCCACTGAAAACGTGCTGATGCTCAAAGCCTAAGTGTCAGTCATTTAGAAAATTGCAGACTAACTGATGTCAGAAAATGAGATGGAATAATTGACAAGATCTCAGTTTGAGACGACTTTATGGGTAGGTCTAGTCTTGTCTAAAATTTTGAAAACTGGTTGGAATACCTAAGGCCCCTCACAGACTCTCAGAAGGCTAGGAGCTCCTAAGTGCCACACACACATTTAAGGGAAAGAAACACATTCTCTACAGGGAAAGTCCTTATTACTTACAAACAACACCTAATGGTCACAAAGAAACACACAAGCTGCCCTACAATAATCCCCCCTTTCCAAATATCCTCCCTCGCTCCTGTACCAGGTGGGGAGACGTTTTTCTTCGTTTTTCAGTTGTTACATTGCTCCTCTTCAAGTTTTAATTTCCTATCCTTGCCTCCTAAATATGGATATTTCCTGAGGCGTAGGCCCTGGCTTCTGCTCTCCTCTATAAATACTCTCCCTTGGAAAGATCATAGACACAGATGAAGCTGTTGTTTCCCCATGATGACTCACACATTTACATATTTGGGCACAGCCTCCTCTTCCTGAGCTTTAGGCTTGCATTTGTAACAACCCCATACAAGATTTCTCTTGGATGTTTCACTACCATCTCAAATTTTACAATTCGTGTGAGCTCTGAGCTCATTTTTGTCCTAAATTCAGCTTAGAATAACCTATAACTATAACCCCTGATTATCCATTTTCAGTCCGAAGTTCCCAGGCTGAAGGATTTGGAATATCTCCTGATTCTTACCAATTTTTTCTCCCATCAACCACTTAGTTACTAAGGATAGTACCACTCAATTACTGTGTTTGGTTTGATTTCAGACTGTTATACTTTTTGATTTCCACCGTTTTGACTTACCTATTTGAGAGGCAGAGTTACAGAGAGAGAGAGGTCTTCCATCTGCTGGTTCACCCCCCAAATGGCCACAATGGTTGGAGATGGGCCGATCCAAAGCCAGGAGCCAGGAATTTCTTCTGAGTCTCCCACGTGGGTGCAGGGACCCAAGCACTTGGGCCATCTTCTACTGCTTTCCTAGGCCATAGTAGAGAGCTGGATTGGAAGAGGAGCAGCCGGGACACAGATGGGTACCTATATGGGATGCTGGCACCACAGGCAGACATAACCTACTACACCACAGTGTCAGTCCCAACTTTTGTCTTAATACCTCTCACTTTTACTAACCAACACCAAGACTATCATATCCCCCATCCTAAACACTTTTGCTAAATAAATGTTTCTAAAGCAGGGCTTGAAACATTCATAGTTCCATCATTCACTTCACAAATATTTACTGTTTACTTCATATAAAGCACAAATACTACAAATCCAACATAGAGATGGATTTGATAAAAAGCTTATGCAATCTGCCCAGATGTGTACATGAGGAATCTTAGTTCAAAATTAGTGGAAATAATTAAACACACAAAGTGCAGAAAGTATGGTGGCCTTTCAGTAGAAAGAAAATTCTTTCTATAAAGAGACGTCACTTTGTAAAGCTTTAAAGAATCGATAGATTTCCAGCATCCGAGGAGCCGGCATCGTGGATTCGAGTCCCAGCTGCCACCCACAATGCATCACATAGCAGAGCACTGGTTCGAGTCCCAGCTGCTTTGCTTCCTACCTCGCTCCCTGCTAACGCGCCTGGGAAAAGCAGCAGAGGATGGCCCAAGTGCTTGGGCCTGTGCCACCAGGTGTGAGACCAGGATGGCGTTCCAGGCTCCTGCCTTCAGCCTGGCCCAGCCCTGGGTGTGGCGGCCACTGGGGGAGTGAACCAGCAGATGGAAGATCCCTCTCTCTCCCTCCCTCCATCGAGCTGCCTTTCAAATGAAGTAATTCAACCTTAAAATAAAGATGAATTCCAACCTCCGGGGGTGGTAAGGGCATTCCACGCAGAAGGGGACATGAACCATGCACAGAAACATGGCCAATGGCTCACGCATGAAGTACTCCGCGTGGTTTGGTTCACCACGGATGGAGGAAGAGCGGCAAACAAGGTCAGCGCTTTAAACCCAAGTTCATAAACTTGGCCTTGGCTGGCAGGGGGCAGTGGGGTGCGGCTAGAGGCCGGGGGTCCTGACAACGGTGTTGCATCTGAGGTGTCAGGGCGTGGTCACGGGAACTCCCGTGAGGCGGGGACGGCGGGCGTGGGGCGCGGATGGAGGCCAGAATTTGCTGCCAGGGGAGCACGACCGGCCGTGGCCACGGTCTTCACCGCCCGTTCTCGCCTCCTGCTCTCCTCGGACTCCTGCACCGCGCGGCCGGAAGTCAACTTTCCTCCCTCTCCCGCCAATTTCCACAATCTCCACCCTTATCGCCACCGCTTCCCAGCCAAGGGGACTTCATCGACGGCGACGTGTCTTCCCGCCCAGCCACTAGGCAGGCTGACGGCGCTGAGACGGCATCACCCGCAGTGGGCCAGGTCCAAGCCCGCGCCGCCATCGGAGCCGAAGGGCGGGGGGAGTGAGCCCTGGATATCGCGAGACTTCCGGGTCGCGCCCGCTCGGCCTGCCGGAAGCGGAAGTCAGGCGGCCGTGGGACGCCAGCGGAAGAGGCTCCGTTACCTTGGAGAGCGAAGTCTGTGTGTGCTGGGGCCGGGGCCGCTTCTGTTGCGGAACTCGCCGGCGGGGTCCGGCTAGAGCTGGGTGGACGCAGCCCTTAGCGGGTGAGTGGCCGGGTCCGAGCGGCGGGGAGGCGGGAGGCGGCGCGCCGAGCTGCGGGGCTGGCCAGGTGTCCCCGGGGAGTGCGGCGAGAGGAGCAGCTGGGATGGACGGCGCTTCGGGAGGGAGGAGAGGTGTCCGAGGCGCTGTCAGGGCGAGCTCTGGATCCGCGGCTTCCCTGGGCTCCGCGTCCCACGGGTCGTTCCCAGGGTTCAGTAGTCCGGAGCCAGAGTTCCCTGCGGGTTCATCGCGGCAAGCCTGCCTCCCTCCCGCTCGCTCCCTTTTTTTTTTTTTTTTAACCCTGCTCCATGTAGCTCGTTCCTTTGGGAGGCCGGGAGTCAGGCCTGGTCGCTGCGGTGGTAGGGTTGGGAGTGCTTGGACCGCTTCCCGTCGTCCGAGGCCCGCATGTCCCAGCCCCTTCCCCACCCCTTTGGAGGATCTCCAGTCTCCAACTTTTTTTTTTTTTTCATTTTCCCGCCACAGATTGAAACGATCTAAACATTGAACGGTACAGCTGCCTCGAATACTTGGGGTAAGGAAAGCTTGGATCGGTAAAAATCTGTGCTTTGAATCTTGTTCTCTTAAGTAACGGTATTTGGTGACTTGGGGGGACTCGTGGGAGAACCCGGAGTAGCACATTTTTCCTTACGACGTTTGCTGCCCGAGAGAATTAGGTACGGGGTATCTTTCCAGTGATTTCTGTGACCCCCGTAGAAACGCAGGCGCGATTTTAGTCGGCTCCCTTGATTTTAAACTCATTTTCTGTGTTTGAGAATTTGACCTGAGCTTGCCCGTCCTGGACGTGTGGAGAGTCTGGTCTTTGCCAACGCTTACTCCCTGGGAGCAGCAGCCTGAGAGGCAGATGCGTAGATAAGAGTTTCCTGCAGCCAGACAGTCCTTGTGGTCTCATTCTGTTGGGATGAGGGTAGCGGCAGGAATGTGATAATTATTTATCTAGGTGGGGTTTGGAGGAAAGATAAACCGAAGCTGTCTTCTGGTATCACATCCTCTTGGCTGCAAACTTCAATTAGAAGGTGAATTAATGCAGGAAGAAAAATAATTGGAGGATGTCCGATAAGACATTTAACATTTCAGCAAGATGTAAAATAGGCCCCAAACATAAAATAGGCTTGAGGAGTCTTGAGACCATGAGCAGAACGATGGGGCCTCGTTAAGGAGGAAGGCCTGTTTGCTTTGGTTTTCACACCTGTCCTGCATTCTCAGTTTTTCTCCTTTTTATTGATTCTCTTCCTCTCTCATAAAAGCTTCAGCAGATTTGAGAGAAGGGAGAGACAGGTCTTCCATCTGCTGGTTTACTCCCTAAATGGCTGCCACGGCCAGGGCTTGGCCAGGCTGAAGCCAGGAGCTTCTTCCAGGTCTCCCACATGGGTGCAGGGCCCAAGGACTTGGGCCATCCTCCACTGCTTTCCCAGGCCACAGCAGAGAGCTGGATTGGAAGTGGAGCAGCCGGGACATACTGGATGCCCTAGAGTTCCTCTTCCTAGTTACCTTTGGATCTGTTGGAGTCCTGCTTCAGTCCTACTACTCTACAGTACTCACTGGCTGGGGCCAGCACTGTGGCGTCGTAGGCTAAGCCTGTGGCTCTGACGCCAGCATCCCATATGGACACTGGTTCAAGTCCTGGCCACTCCATTTCTGATCCAGCTCTCTGCTATGGCCTGGGAAAACAGTAGAAGATGGCTCAGGTGCTTGGGCTCCTGCACACGTGTGGGAGACCTGGAAGAAGCTCCTGGCTCCTGGCTTCAGATCAGCCCAGCTCTGGCTGTTGCAGCCATTTGGGGAGTGAATCAGTGGATGGAAGACCTTTCTCTCTGTTGGTCCCTCTCTCTGTCTGAACTTTACTTCTCAAATAAATCTTTAAAAAAAGTAAAGTACTCACTGCCTAATGACTACATTCATTTAATTATCTATTTTATTTATTTATTTATTTATTTTGACAGGCAGAGTGGACACTGAGAGAGACAGAGAGAAAGGTCTTCCTTTTGCCGTTGGTTCACCCTCCAATGGCCGCCGCGGCCAGCGCGCTTCAGCCAGCGCACCGCGCTGATCTGATGGCAGGAGCCATGTGCTTCCTCCTGGTCTTCCATGGGGTGCAGGGCCCAAGCACCTGGGCCATCCTCCACTGCACTCCCTGGCCACAACAGAGAGCTGGCCTGGAAGAGGGGCAACCGGAACAGAATCCGGCGCCCCGACCGGGACTAGAACCCGGTGTGCCGGTGCCGCAAGGCAGAGGATTAGCCTAGTGAGCCACGGCGCCGGCTAATTATCTTTTTTTGATACTTTTTTTTAAAGATTTATTTTATTTGTTTGAAAGAGTTCCAGGGGGAGTGAGAGAATAAAGCTGTTACTCCCCAAACTGCAATGGCCGGGGCTGGGCCAGGCTGAAGCCAGGAGCTTGCTCTGGCTCTGCCACAGGTGTGCAGGGCCCCAGGCACTTGGGCTGTCCTCCACTGCTTTCCCAGGTGTATCAGCCGGGAGCTGGATTGGCAGTGGGGCAGCTGTGACTGGAACTGGCACCCGTATTGGATGTCAATGTTTGCAGGTGGTGGCTTAACTCACTGTTCCGCAGCACTGGCTGCGATATTCTTCTTCCACCTTGTCCATTCCTACAGCGGTCACCGCCACCAACATTGCTGCTGTCTCCCAAGTTCATCTCCACCTGCCCTTACTGGTGGGTAGTTAACTGGGAGCGGACTCTTCGTTTGGATGGACGGACCAAAACTGACTTCAGACAGTGTGTGTCCTTGCCCACCTTTCTTCGTGGCACCAGAATCCGTCCACTCATTTCACCAGAGGCCTGGGTGTTCCCGTTTTCACGTCTGTTCTCACATCCAGTCAGACTAGTTCTTCCTGGAATTCTTTGAAAACTGTTTTAATAATTCCTACCTCAGATTGCGTTGATGGCGTATTGCCTAGATTGTTGCAGTAATCTACTCTGTTAGAAAAGCAGTCCTTCGAAATGATAAATTTCCTCTTGAGACTTCTTTATTTAGCTGTAACTCCTCATCGTCCACCCGAGAGGCAAAGTTGTTGCTGTCTCTTCACGCTCGCTTCTTGACATTCTCTGTCTTTATGTTTACGTCACATCTGTCTCTTGTGCTTGACTGGGGGCCCTTTGGGGACGGAGTCCATGTTACATTGTGCATATTTTTATTTCATCGTAGTTAGCACATTGCCTGGAATGTAGTAGCCAAGAAATGTTGAATTCAATATCTAAAGGCTACGTTAAGTTAGCTCAGAGGTGGGCAGTTACAGTGCCACTGGGGAGCGCCCAGTTCAAGTCCCCGCTCCTCTGCCTCCGTCCAGCTTCCTGCTGATAGCACACCGGGAGGCAGCAGTGATGGCTCAGGTGCTCGCTTGGTCCCTGCAGCGACCTGGGAGACCCAGATTGAGTTCTGGCCTCTTGGCTTCGGCCTGGCCCAGGCCTGGCTGTTGTGGGCTTTTGGGGAATGACCCAGTGGAGGGAAGATCTGTGTCTCTGTGTCTCTGCCTTTCAATAAAATGAGAATGAAAGCCCACAAAGACTTTTAGTGATACTCTGCCTAAAATTGTTCTGTTTGTCATAATCTGGTAAGATGATGTTGATGTTTTTAAAATTTCTAATACAAACATCTTAACAACTGTGCAGAATTTCAGAATGACTGACACTTCCGAAGCTGTTAAAAATTTTGAAGAGATGTTTGCCAGTAGATTCACAGAAGATGACAAAGAATACCAGGCATATCTGAAACGCCCCCCTGACACCCCTCCCATTGTTGAGGAATGGAGTAGCAGAGGAGGCGGGGGCCAGAGGAATCGAGGCAATTGGTATGTATTACTTCAGAAGAATAAAGGAGGCGCCTATGGGGGCGTGGCTTTATCCGCTAGACCGTACAGGCGGCAGCCAGTGTTTGTAGGATGGCCTAGTGCCCCGCACAGGCAGTGCTTGATAAATAACTTGCTTTAACATTTTGCCAGCGCTGTATTCCTTCTTTTGCTGTGTGGCGTGTGTGTGTGTGTGTAAGAAAAGAAGGAATTGTTTTGACTTTACTTTAGCAAGAAGTTTATAAAATTGAAGTTATTCTGTCTAATAATTCACACTGCTTTTGTACAGTTGAACAGATTTCAGTTTGGTTCAGAAATGGCCCTCTTGGTTTTGGTTTATGTTGTAGTCTGCCTGTTTCTCTGCAAGGTGTTTCCACTCCTGCACTGGAGGGACGGTTTAAGTCTTAGAACGTAGGGAGTGACTGCTGCTGTAATGCTCTGCAGAGAAAAAGTTTTTAACTTCCATTTGCTGTGTATTAGATTGAGAAATCAAGTGCACTGAATTGGATTTGTCATTTGTTTTTTTTTTTTTTTTTTACAAGGGAAGTTAAAAAACCTTTTTGTTTTGTTGTAGGTTGCAAGATAACAGACAGTTTAGAGATAGGGACGGCCGACGAGGGTGGCCGGGTGATGGTCGGTCGGATCCGTGGCGCGGCCGGTCCTGGGGTAACAGTTACCCGCAGCAGAGGCAAGAGCCCTACTACCCCCACCAGTACGGACACTGCGGCTACAACCAGCAGCCTCCCTACGGTTACTACTGATAGAAATGTCCGCCGCTTTTAATAAAAACATCGCCTCATTACCATGCCAAGAGCTTGTGTGTCTTCTCCCGGTCGTGGTTGTACATCCTGTTTCAGGGAACGGATGATTGTTTGGAACTTGAGACTTTTAATAGATCTTACCAGAGAGATGTGATGGTTGCTGAGAATGAAAACTGCCCCTGCAGACATGCCGGCTTGCTCTGACATCTGCCTCAGGGTCTCCTTTGTCTCGTGCCCTGGCACTGCTTCAAGTTTGGTAAATTTGTTTGACTGCTGGGAGTTCTTACTTTGTTTTACACAGAAATCAATTTTAAAGTAGAACATGCTTGCCTTTACTTTGAAAACAATGGAGCACCCATATCCTTAGATGTGCTCATCTCTACAGCTCTGCAGAGGCGGCTGCAGTTAGTTTATGAGTGCATAGCTGTGCCTGCTTGAATATAATACCAATAATTGAAAGGTAAAGCAAGTGTATATGTCTTGACTTTTTTGATAACTGTGGTGCTGTGTGATTACTTATTCTAAGGGTGAGAGTTAGCTTCACAATTGTCTTGGTCTGTTTTTAGAGGAAAATAATAAAGCTACACAGTGTGGAAGGAATTGTGTTTCAGTGTCCTGATCTCATGGTGGATGGGATTAGGGCAGCAGCATTTTCTATGGAATTTAAGGCTTTTTCCTAACTAAAATTTAGCAGGTCAGATTCACATGTTATACAAAAGTTTAACTCTGTATTCAAACTTTTCGTCTGTATTCTGACTTATTTTGGTATTTAATGTGGGTTAACTTCATAATGTTACATTCACTTCCAAATGTGCACCTTGGCTGCATCCTCTTCTGTGAACACCCTGAAGCTATCGCTTCCTGTATGAGGAGCCATTCTATCTCACATGACATTAATGGTTATTACGGTGTCTTTTTTCAAATAAAATTTTGAAAGATGTAAGTGACTTCACCCGCAAGTTTTGGCAGGTAGCCCATTTATCAATGTGAGATGAGATCTTTGGTTTTGTATTCTTCATGGCTGTTCTGTTTTTGTTTGATTTACACATTCATTACGGGTGAGTCCAAGGAACTAAACAGCAGCTTTCTGGGGTGGGTGTGGTGCACAGTTAAGCCACATTTGGGGCACCTGCACCCCTAAGGGGGTGCCCGTCCAAGCCCAGCTTCTCCCCTCCAGCTCACCGCTGCTGCATCCGGGGAGGCCGCTGATGATCTCAGTGCTTGGGCTTCTGCTTCCACGTGGGAAGCTCGGATGAAGCTCCTCGCTCTGACTTCGGCCTGGCCCAGCCCTGGCTGTTGCAGCATTTGGGGAGAGAACCAGCAGTTAGAAGAGCTCTCTCTCTTTCTCTTTCCCTTTCTTTTTTTTTCTTTTTCTTTTTTTTTTTGACAGGCAGAGTGGACAGTGAGAGAGAGAGACAGAGAGAAAGGTCTTCTTTTTGCCTTTGGTTCACCCTCCAATGGCCGCCGCGGCCGGCGCACCGTGCTGATCCGAAGCCAAGAGCCAGGTGCTTCTCCTGGTCTCCCATGGGGTGCAGGGCCCAAGCACTTGGGCCATCCTCCACTGCCCTCCCGGGCCACAGCAGAGAGCTGGCCTGGAAGAGGGGCAACCTGGACAGAATCCGGTGCCCCGACCGGGACTAGAACCCGGTGTGCCGGCGCCACAAGGCGGAGGATTAGCCTAGTGAGCCGCGGCGTCGGCCCTCTTTGCCTTTCAAGCAGATGAAAATATAAACAAACATGGGGGCAGGGGAGGCGATGTCCTAAATCTTCCAGCTGCCTTCAAGAAAGTAATAGCAATTTGGAGATTGATGTATTTGAGAGGCAGAGTTACAGAGAGATAGAGGTCTTCATCCACTGGTTCACTCCCCAGATGGCCACAACGGCTGGCTGGAGCTGAGCCGATATGAAGCCAGGAGCCAGGAGTTTTCTTGAGGGTCTCCCATGTGGATTCAGGGGGCGAGGCATTGGGCCATCTCCACTGCTTTCCCAGGCCACAGCAGAGAGCTGGATCGGAGGTGGAGCAGCCAGGACTTGAGCAGCATCCGTATGGGATGCCAGCACCACAGGCAGAGGCTCGGTCCATTATATGCCACAGCGCTGGCCCCTCTTGGCACCTTAGTCTAGGGCAGGAGGTTGATTCTCCAGGTACTTTGCCTTGCCTTGGCTCCACTCTGTTCACAACCCGTATTTCTGAAAAGCCACCCTTTCAGGTAACTTTTATTAGAAAGGATAGTATTGAACTGAGATGTAAAAATAAATTTTTAATAAGTTAATGGCTTTTCTCTGTACCCACTAATTACATCAATAAGTAACAATCCGTGCTGTTACATAAAGAAAGGTCTGGATGTTACAGATATTTAGCCTAGAGTCAAGAATGGCCTGGTCGCACCCCAGCATCTTTTTTGAAAGCAGAGGTGTTATTAAAAAAATCTATCAGCTGCTAAAGCACAGGCAGTGGCCAGCTGGGACAGGTGGCTAACTACAGTGTGCAGCAGGATCCTGCCTGTGCCAGCTGTGGACACTAATTAGGGAGCTCTCTGGGCCAACAGGCAGGGAATGAGGGCTGCTTCTCAGGAAAGCCAGGAGAGAGGCTGTCTTCCAACAGCATTGAGATACTGCAACGCCTGACACGGCGAGGCTGCATACGCCCGAGTGTCAGCCCCACCTGGGAAAAATGGGGAGACAATCTTTTTTTTTTTTTTAAGATTTATTTATTTGAAGGAGAAAGTGATAGAGATCGTCCACCTACTGGTTCACTCCCCAAATGGCCACAACAGCTAGAGCTGGGCCAGGCCAAAGCCAGGAGCCCAGAGCGGCATGCGGGTCTCCATGGGGCAGCAGGGGCCCATGTACTTGTGCCTCAACACTGGCTGCCCAGGAGTCGCCTTTGTGGGGGTTATTTCTGCGTGGGTTCTTTGTGGTGGTGGCAGTTTTGCTTTTACTGGCAGTTACTATCAGTGAGTTCTTAAAACCAGGAAGAAATAAAGCCATGGTTTCTGCCTTCATGAGGCAGAAAACTTAAAGGTAACGGAAGGGGCCACGTTGTGGCACGGCAGGGTGAGCCACGGCTTGGAATACCTGCATCCCACTTCAGAGTGCCGGCTCCAGTCCTGGCTGCTCTGCTTCTGGTTCAGAGTCCTGCTGACGCACCTGGGAAGGCAGTGGACAGTGACCCAAGTATTTGGGTTCCTACCACCCATATGGGAGACCAGGATGGAGTTCCTGGCTCCTGGCTTTCCCTGGCCCAGACTTGACTGTTGTGGCATCTGGGGAGGGAACCAGTGGATGGAAGATCTCTGTTTCTTCTCTTTCTCACTCTGCCTTTCAAGTAAATAGATCTTTTTTAATAAAAGGAAATTTAAGAGTGAATTAAAAATGGAAATAGTGTCAGATAGGATTAATTTCAAATAGTCTATTGTAGACTGTCCTTATATGATCTGTGACCTTGAGAAAAGTCACTTACGCTTGGATCATTTATCTGTAAAAATGGGCCCAGTACCCACCTGGCCACACCTACAGGTTCTGAAGATAAAGGACGGAAGGAAGAGGAGAGTGGAAGCCACAGCTGAGACCGTTAAAGCCCCAGCGGCACGTGAACAGGTGCTGGGGAGTGCTTGGTAAACGAGGCAGAGTGACAGAGATGAGGCAGGGCAGGAATCAGGTGAATTAGCAGGGAGAGCAGTGCCACCCTCCAGAAAATAACACTTCAAGTGGTGAGAGTGTGCGCAGCTGAGCTGTTGGGGTGCCGGCGCTGACTTCAGAATGGCACGCACTGCTTATGGAGCACATCACGTTAAAGCACTGCTGGGAACAGCGCGCTGGGGCTGGAGAGGTTTTGTGTTTTGTGTCTGAGTGCTAGGAGGGTTGGAGAGGTTTTGTGTTTTGTGTCTGAGTGCTAGGAGGGTTGGGGTTATCCAGGGTGCGATGACGATTTCTGGGTTCGTGAAACCATCTAGGAAAAAGACATCAGGGAGAGTTCATCTAGCTTGATTCTGGTTTCCAAAGCTGCCTTCCTTAAATATAATGCCCAACAGAGAAGGATGCCATTTTCCTTTGATATTTTTTCTCCTGAAAGGAGAGACAGGACTTTATGATGGAACAGAGTATCCCTTCCTAGGTCACTGACAGCTCTAGTTTTGAACTCGAGTAAAAACACCACACTTTGAGGGGGGAGTTGTTTCTCCTTGATATTTCTTTTGAAAATTGTACCATCATATTGTTTTATTCTTTTTTTATTTTTTTATTTTTTTATTTTTTTGACAGGCAGAGTGGACAGTGAGAGAGAGAGACAGAGAGAAAGGTCTTCCTTTGCCGTTGGTTCACCCTCCAATGGCCGCCGCGGCCGGCGCGCTGCGGCCGGCGCACCGCGCTGATCCGATGGCAGGAGCCAGGAGCCAGGTGCTTATCCTGGTCTCCCATGGGGTGCAGGGCCCAAGCACCTGGGCCATCCTCCACTGCACTACCTGGCCACAGCAGAGGGCTGGCCTGGAAGAGGGGCAACCGGGACAGAATCCGGCGCCCCGACCGGGACTAGAACCCGGTGTGCCGGCGCCGCTAGGCGGAGGATTAGCCTAGTGAGCCGCGGCGCCGGCTGTTTTATTCTTAATAACTAAAATGGAGCATGAGTGTTGAAAAACAAAGACCACAGAGAAAGTGAAAATTGAGCCCCACGTGCCAAGGATCAGTACTGTTCGTGATCTGCACAGTCGCTCTCATCACGGCCACACTCTCCACCACAGCTGCTTTATTCACTCGGCAACCCCCCTCTTATTATACGCACAGCTATCTCGTTAGCTTTCTCATCCCGATGAACATTTACGTTGTTGCCACTTGATTAGATTGCAAGTAATGCTGCAAAGAACATTCTAGTGCTTCGGTCCTCATACTAGGAAAAGCTTTAGGTACTTAGCATTTACACATCATTATCATTGTGTTCCTTTAAGGCCGTCAGTGACATGCAAGGTAAGTGCTCTCTCGGCCTGACCCCTACGTGAAAGTGGCATATTTTGGGGTCTTGAACCCTACCAGATCAATAATTGGTTGCAACGCTTCAAGGAAGTAATTTTCAGACAGGCCGAGAGCCTCCTCTGTGGGTAGCAAGGGCGGGGAAGGGTGCTTTGATCTAACTCTCGGGGTTCCTCCCTCCACCCACATGGCACCCACCCCCACTTGCTGCTTAGGACTCAGCAGGGCAGGTAAAACAGCACCACCGCATGTGGCCCTCAAGTACCGGTCACACTGAGTCGGCAAGACAGAATACAGGTGGCTAAAACACCGACACACCGGCCACTGCACAGAAAGCAGCAAGCGCGGGTAAACTAAGCAGCAGGTGGCTGTCCAGAGGAAGGGAGGGAGCGCGCCGGAGCGTTCCGGCTTCCTGGCTGACTCCGTGTTGGATGTGTGGTGTCTCAGGGCGGGCAGATTAACAATCCGCCAACGGAAGGGAGAGCCGTGAGAGAGTGGGTAACAGAGGCGGCAAGAAACCGCTGCACTGTGTTCTCTGCGAGATTTCTTCAGTTATTTGAAAGAGTTACAGAGAGAGGCAGATACAGAGAGAGAGCTCTTCCATCTTCCGGTTCACTCCCCAAAAGGTACCGCCAACCTGCGCCAGTCTAGGCTGAAGTCATGAGCCAGGAGCTGCTTCTGGGTCTGCCATGTGGGTGCAGGGACCCAAGCACTTGAACCACTGTTGTGCACACTGGGTGCATTTGGGACTCCGGTTTTATCTGGTTAGTAGGGAATTTGCCTCTAGTGGGGAGGGGCAGCTGGGGAAGAGTGGGGGCTCTGGAGTCTCAGGGAGTTTCCCTCTGATCTGTTTCATAGCTGCCCTGTGCGGGTCTTCTGTTTGGCCATTTGCATTGCAAGGAGTTGAGAAGGGTCCGGTGGGCACCCAGGATCTCAACAAAAGGGAGGATGTGAGGCTGGGAGGGGGAAGCAGGAAGAATGGAGGAGGGGGAAAGTGCCACAAGTCCTTTAAAAATGAGAACTTTTAAGTACTGAATAATGGATTTTGGCTAATTCTGTGCGAAAAACCTAATTAGATAGGTCAAAGCATCTTGTCTTAGAAGGTGTATATTTAAAAATTCTCAAATTTTAAATTTAGAATGAACTGATGGGAAAAAATACTTGACATTGGTAGATGTTAATATCGCTAATATTTAGATTACTACTTCAGATGCAAACATGTCCAGATGTGCCATTCTACAATACTTTAACAAGGGCTTCTCCTGGCTCCTGCTGTATTCGTTGTTATGGAGCCAAATCCACACCTGGCCTAGCATAGGACATTATGCCACCGGCCTCCAGTGTAGCCCCAAGTGCAAACATGCAAGGACCTCTGGTACTGGCCTTTGCGGACACTCCCTGACTTGGGACTCTGTGGAAGATGGTGCTGGGCCACGCTGGCCATGTGGGTCTCCGTGATTTGAGCTGCGCTGTGTCAGGAGTGCTAGGGTAGGAGTGAGGGGTCCTTGCACTGCTGTGACTTCCGGGGTCTTGGGGTGCCACACAGATGTCCCTCCCTCTGGAGTCCAGTTGTCAGTGCTGTCAGAGTGGAAAAGTGGAGATGAGCTGTAGGTCATTCCTGAGGTTTGAGGGTTTGCAGGGTGGGACGGGAGGAGCAGGTTAACGACAAGGCTTCCATCAGAACTGCCGGTGTGGGCAGGCATTGTGGCTCAGCAGCTGGGACTCCAGCATCCCACATCAGAGTGCACTGGGTTCAAGTCCTCACTCCGCTTTTGATCCAGCTTCCGGTTGATGCTCCCTCTGGGGGAAACCCAGTGAGAGACCTAGATGGAGTCCCAAACTGCTGGGTTAGGCCTGGCCCAGCCCTGACTGCTGTGGGCCTTTGGGACATGAACCAGTGATGCAAGATCTGTCTCTGTGTCTCTCTGAGCTCTACCTTTCAGAAAATTAAAATACCGGCTGTAAGTGATTTGGCTGCTTCTCTACAGGGTTGAATGACAGCACTGGGCTAGGCACGGGATGGGTGAACCCGGCCTGGAGTCAGGTGTGTGCCTGCAGAACGGGAGGTGGGCACTTCCGGGTTGAGCTGGTGCAGGAGGTGCAGCTGCCGGCTCTCCCCCGTGTTGGCCTGGGCTGATGGGCTAATTCAGCGGGCGTTTGCATTCCTGTCCCTAGGGGCACACAGCGCCCCACGTATTAATTACCAGTTAGATTTTCTCTGAGTTTCAGTGGCTTCTCCTGAGACAGCCTCAGGGATGAGGCGAGGATGAGCTCATGGGTTTTTTCCACTGCCAGTGCCTTTAACTCCCGGAAGAAATCTCAGCCTCTGTGTCTGGATTAGGTAAATAAAGCTGCTCTGATCGCCGAACACCAGAGCTCTGTTGTTTATGTTGTTCTCATTAAAAAAAAAAAAGTCCTCAACTGTGTATATTTTGTGTATCTATAAAACAGTATTATAAAAGTGACAGAGTACGAAAATAAATCATCTGGACCCACTGGTGATCGTGGCCTGCTGTGTGTGCTCCCGTCCCATTGACCATACTCACATAAACATACGCATACTTCATGTGTATGTTCTCTCCTTTTCTAAAAGCTGAAGTGGGGTTATAGGCTTTTAAATTATGCCTTTTATACACACGACTGCTTACCCACTCAATAGAATATCACAGTCATCCCTCCAGGTCAGTAGTTGTAGTTTAGGAACTGATGATTTAATTCTAGTAACAACAGTTGCTAGGATGGATTCACCATCGTTGTGACGCCTCTCCTGTAGGCAGACACTTGGGGTTTTTCTTTCCCTCATACTGACAATGCTGCATCGCCCTTGTACATCCTTTGGTGCTTAAGCAAACAGAAATATTTATTTGGAAAGGCAGAAAGAGAGAGAGTGTGTTCTTCTGTCTACTGGTTTGCTTCCCAAATGCCCACACCAGCCAGAGCTGGACCATGCCAAAGCCAGGAGCCAGGAACTCCAACTATGTCTCCCACATGGCGGGCAGGGAGTCAGATGCTTGAGCCATCATCTGCCACCTCCCAGGCACATTCACAGGGAGCTGGATGGGAAGTGGAGTAGCCGGGGCTCGAACTGCCATTGATATGGATGTGGGCCTCCCAAGCAGTGGTTTTACCCACTGAGCCACAACGCCTGCCCTCTTGGGTGCTTTTTATGTATTCTGCGGGATCATCTCAAAAGCAGAATTGTCGGGTTGAAATATCTTACGTTTTAATAAGTGCTGACCTGTTTTCTAGAACATTGTAGCAAGGCATATTCCCCATGAGTGTGCATATATGTGTCTCACCCTCCCTCCCTTAACTCAGCCTCTGATCTGGATGGTCAGAGCTTCTAGAAAACATGTAGTTTTATTTTTAATTGACAGATAGTAATTGTACAGACTTAAGGGGTGTGACATTTCATCCCATTCACAAAATGTGTAATGATGGGGTCACAGTAACTGGCGTATCTGTCACCTCGGATATCCTGTGTTGGAAGCACTCCAAATCCTCTCTCCTAGTTATATCAAAAGGTCCCATTAGTTGTCAATGGCAGTTACCCTACTGTGCCACAGAGCGTAGAAAGCTACTCCTCCTTTCTAGTGGCACCCCTGCACCATTAACCATCCCCTCTCCACCCCACTTCCCCCATACCCTGCCCACGCCCTGGTAAGCACAGGTCTAGTCTCTGCGTCTGTGAAGTCGACTTCCAGCTTCCGCACATGAGAACACGTGGGAACATGGATATTTGTCCTAACATAATGTCCTCCCGTCCCATCCAGCTCTGCCACTGACAGAACTTCATGTCTTGTGGTAACATTCCACTGTGTACAGATGCATGTGCTGTCGTTTCTCTGTTCAGTCACCCGTCAGTGGACACGCAGGTTGATCCCGTGTCTCGGCTGCTGTGACCAGTGCCACGGGAAGCGTGCGTGCAGGTGTTTGCTGGACACTGATTTCACTCCTTTGTGCTCTGCCCTGGAGTAGGATCACTGGGCCCTCTGATGGTTGTTTCCGGTTTCCTCAGGAACCTCCAGTTTTCCTAGTGGCCGTACTAATTCACATCCCAGCATCAGCAATCAGGGCCCGCTTTCCCTGCAGTATTTATCATCATTAATAGCCACTGAGGATGGAGCTGTGCATAGCGGGTAAAGCTGCCGCCTGCAGTGCCGGCATCCTGCATGGGCGCTGGTTCATGTCCTGGCTGCTCCCCTTCCGACCCAGCTCCCTACTAATGGCCTGGGAAAGCAGCAGTAGTTGGCCCAAGCATACGGGCCATTGGTATGCACCTGGGAAACTGTATGTGGCTCCTGGCTTCGGCCTGGACCAACCCCAGCTGTTGTGGCCATCTGAAGAGTGAACAGTGGATTGAAGATCTGTCTCTCCCTCTCCCTGTGTAACTCTTTCAAATAAATAAATATTTAAAAAAAGGCACTTTAACTGGGGTGAGATGGCTCATTGTGGTTTTGACTTGCATTTCTGTGATATTAGTGATACTGAGCATTTTTTATATACTTGTTTTCCAATTGTGTATCTGCTTTTGAGAAACATCTATAAATGTAATTTGCCCATTTTAACATCTGATTATTTGTTTTTGCTGTTGAGTTTGAGTTCCGTATACATTCCAGACATTAATTCCTTGACAGTGGAATAGTTCGCAGACACTGTCTACCAACGCAGGCGTCCCTTCACTTCTGAGTGTTCCTTAACCGTACAGCAGCTCCCAACCTGATGCAATCCTGTTTGTCTACTTTTGCTTTTGGGCCCCAGGTTTGGTTTTTTTTTTTTTTTTTTTTTTTTTGATTCATGTATTTGAGAGCTAGAGTTATAGAGAGGGAGAGAACATCTGCTGGTTCACTCCCCAAATGGCCACAACAGCTGCAGCTGAGCCGGTCCAAAGCCAGGAGTCAGGAGCTACTTCCGGACTCCCACATGGGTGCAGGGACCCAAGCACTTGGGCCATCTTCTGCTGTTTTGAGCTGGATCGGATGTGGAGCAGCCAGGATTTGAACCGGTGCCCATATGGGATGCCAACACCACAGGTGGCAGCTTTACCCATTATATCACAACACCAGCCCCTTCAGGTGATGACGCTTGAAGAGGCTTCCCACGAGACAGAAGGTACCAGGACAGGATCCACTGCCGCACTGTCTACCTGGCAGGTGTTCTTCACTCATTCACTGAATTGGCCTCCTGATGAGAGATCAGTTCCCTGCCGACTGCCCAGCTCAATTCCATCTGCAAACACTCTATGTGGAACTCCTGGAAGGAAGCTGCAGTTAAGGGAGGTCCCTGACCACTCAGCTGACAACACTCTGGCCTGACAGCAAGGATCAGTGTGTGAGATTAGTGCTCAGTGCTCAGATTATGTGTGGTGTGGCGCCCATGTGGGAGACCAGGATGGCCTGGACCGTTTGCAGGCATTTGGGGAGGGAACCAGTGGATGGAACTCTGTCACGCTGCCTTCAGATAGACAGACAGATAGATAGAGAGCGAGCGAGCGAGAGAGAGAGAAATGTGTGTGCCTCTGTGTGTTGCATTACAGTGCCACCTCTTGGGTGTAAGTTGAAACTAGCTTCTCCAGTGCTTGGTTTCTAGTCAATACATTAAGAGTGTTTGCACTTTAGGCCAGTTGGGTTCTAAAACTTGCATTCTGCATTACTGTTGAACTACTGACCCAAATCCCAGAGGGGGATGCTGGTAGCCCACAATGCAGATAACCACCGCATAACACTGTAGTTTATTTTTAAAGATTATTTACTTATCTGAGAGGCAGTTACGGAGAGAGAGAGGGAAAGGTCTTCCATCTGCTGGTTCACTACTCAAACGGCCACCACAGCGGGAGCTGGGCCTATCTGAAGTCAGGAGCCAGGAGCCTCCTCTGGTCTCCCACGTGGGATCAGGGGCCCAAGCACTTAGGCAATCCTCATGTGCTTTCCCGCACCATTAGCACAACTGGATTGGAAGAGGAGCAGCCCGGACTCGAACAGGCATCCTTATGGGATGATGGCAGCACAAGTGGAGGCTTAGCCTAGTACAACATTGTGGATTTTAGCCCTCCGGAACTTCCAACACCACAGAGGTGCCACTACATCCTCTACTCTCTCCATCCCGAGGAGTATGGGATGGCCCTCCAGAAGCAGGAGCCAAAATCTCTGCCTGCCTTCAGGACAGGGGGAGCCAGCTGTCAGCGGAGGCCAAACAGCCAGTGTGGACTGGCAAGTCAGTCACCACGCTAACAAACTGGTAGCCAGTTTTGCAGGACTGGTTATTAGGGTGGGGGTGACAGATGACAGACAGAACATACCAGTCCCCACAGCTGGTGTCCTTCCAATCTCATTCAAAGGCAGGTAATAACAGGTCTCTCCAGACACAGTAGAGAAAGTATTCACTTGAAATGAATGGGTTGGCCCAGGCTCGAGACCCGGCCTGAGGCACATGTGAAGTCTGAATTCTGTCCTCCACCCTGGGTCTACCTCTGTGTTCGCGGAGGAAAACCAGGGCCCAGCTGAAGAAAGCTGTATTGCCTGAACTCCTGCAGCAGGCCAGGTGCCCAGGCGTTAGCCATGATATCCCCAGTGAGGAGCAGCTGTGTGGGCGTGGTCAGACTGCTGCAGGCCGCCTCAGGTTCTGTTCTCCTGTCTCTGGGCCAGCTCCTACCTCCTGCAAGCTTTCGATGACAGAGCCTCACTGGGATGTAACTCTGTTAAAGGATCCTGTTCAGTTTCTTATAAAAACTGAGGAAAAGTTTCCATGTTAGATAACGGTCACTTTTTTTTTTTAAAGAGGAAAGGTTTACTGTCAGGTGGGGGAAACCTGATGGGCCCGGGGGAGGGGAGAGAGCATGCGTGCTGGAAGTGGGTCCTGTTATACGTTTGCCAGGGGGCAGGGAAGCAGGAGCAGCGAATCCCGTTAGGGTGGGGGTGGAGCGGACACCTGTGGTTGGGCCATGGGCTTAGGACCGAAGCTTACTGCGCAAGGTGGCCACGGGGGCCAGAGCCTCAGATGGCGGCTCACGGCCATTTTAAATGAAGTAGGTTATTGTAGTTGAAACTGCTAGTTGCTAACCAGCATCCACTCCTTTCTTCATACTTTCCCGCTGATTGAGGACTCGTGTTGTAGCATGGCTTTCCCTGGAATCCCACATCCTCTGCCCTGGTGTGAATTACGAGGCTGAGTCTTTGGGAAAGACACACCAGAGCTGTCCCGAGTGGAGTCTGTGAAACCTGGAACCCTGGCCCTTTGCCTCCAGAGGGCGGCTGACCCGAGGATGAAGCCAGAGCAGGAAGTGGGTCCTCCATGACATCACTGAGCCGCGGTGTCAACACCTAAGCGCACCCTGCCTCTGGACCTCGCCAGTGTGTGAGCTCATAACCCCCTTTACTGCTTGCCAGGTGGGCTTTTCTGGAACTTGTAGGGAAAGCATCCTACCTGTGACCCTGTGAAAACCCAAGTCCGATATCTTTATGGCACACACTGGGACAGTGTGGGGAAAGGGTGGGGATGTGTTTAACAAAGAACTAGAAGAGAGGAGTCTGTGGGTTCCAGACACAAAGAACCGACAAGTGTTAACGAGATGGAAATGCGAATCACTCTGAACTGATCAGCACACATCGTGTACAGGTAGCAAACTATTACAGTGTACCCCATAAATGTAACTATGCTTTGACTGAAATTAGAAAGGGGTGAGTGCTTTAGCGCAGCTGGTTACGCCGCTGTCTGGGGGCCCACACCCCGTAAGAGTGCCTGGGACTGAGTGTCATCTTTACTTCCAGTCCAGCTCCGTGCTAATGTGGCTGGGAGGCAGCAGAGGGTGACTCAAGTACTTGGGTTCCTGCCGCCCAGTGGGAGACGTGGAGCTAGTTCCCGGCTCTGGGCCCAGGCTGTTGTGGCCATCTGAGGAGTGAACCAGCAGTTGGCAGATCTATCACTCTTTCTTTCAAATACAAACTTTTAGAAGTTTTCTTTAAAAAGTAAGGGGAAAGAGTGGGTGACTTGAGTCCAGACCGTGTAGAACAGAAGCACCTCTGTGGGCAGTATCGCACAGCGGTGTAGACAAGGACAGCAGTGTAAGACAAGGCAGCGAGCCCAAGTCAAGGCCTGCCGCTCCTGCGTGCTGCCTTCCTGAACACGCCATCCAGCGTCTCCCGCCCTTGGTTCCCAGCAACAAAGTAAGAGTTGTGCCCGGTGGGCGGCTTCCAGCTCCTTCACCGTCAAGAATCTTTACTACTGGCCTGACAGATGCTGTCCTCGCGCTTCTCCGTGAGCACATTTTCTCGGGCACTTATCAGACGAGGCACAGGACTGCGCATCAGCGCTGATGAGCAGGGCAAGGGAGCTTCTGATGGGCCCCTACACACACGGAAAACCGCTTCCAAGTCCTAGTGTTTCTCTGCGGGGTCCTCGGAGACCCCCAAGAACTGCCGGGCTCGATGACCGAGGTCACCATGGAGGAGGCAGGAAGTTCAGTGTCTCCTCAGAAATCGTCAACGTGAAGCTGCAGGTCTCGATTATTCGTTTTCACAAGATGCTCAAAATTGTTGTGAAAACACATTTTTGCGTGTAGTATCGTGCTGAAATGCGAAGGTTCAGAGCAGTGCCTGCCTGGTTTTCCTGTCTCTGGTAAACTGGACTGAGGCGGCCCCAGGGCTCCAGACTTGCTACGGAGATTCCACGTCCGCGTGCAGCCAGGGTGATGCTCTCAGCCAGGGGTGGGGCATCCGGCCGCCAGTGCCACCCTGCACGCTGCGACCTGGAGCACTTGCGGGCACCGGAAGCCCATCACAGGACGCAAGGGGCAAAGCCGGTCCTCTGGAACATTCTCCCGCTGTTATCTGGTGATGCCGTGAAATCAGTCAGGTGTTCCAGGTCGTTTGGGGGTTTTGAACCTGTATTCAGTGTGCAGTAACTTTCAAGCTTCCTACTTTTTTCTGAGGCTTATTACATTTAATACACACACATGCATTTCCCCACATTCTGTGCATCTGAACATTTTTTCCTGTCTAGTAGTCTGTTCATCATTAGCAGTAAATTCCTCACAGATGACTTTTTCATTTCTTGCTTTTACTTCTTCTCAGCTTCCCGTTTTAATTTCCCCAAGATTTCGTCTGGAGTTGTAGAGGCCAAGAGCTTCACCACCTTCTCCCGAGACTTACCACCCTGGACAGAAAGGGAACAGACACGCTCAAACCCCTGACGTACGAGACCCCGCACCTCCGCGCTCCCCAGCGCAGCCACACACCCTCACGGGGTCACACAGGGGCTTTGCTGAGGGCTTAGGCCGCACTTCCTCACGGCCCCTTCTGATCTAACCCAAGACTCTTAGATGCTTCCTGCCTGCAGGTGTTTACGAGACCCCAGGGTTTTACCTCCCCCAATTTCTGTGATAAAAGGAGGATTACAGTTTCAAAATGGGGGCAGGCTTTGTGGCACAGAGGATGAAGCGACCACTTCATCTGCATCCCATTTCCCCGTACTGTATCCCATATACAGAGTGCCAATCTGAATCCCAGATACTCCACTTTCAATCCAGCTTCCTGCTAATGCGTTCTGAGCCATGATGGCTCAAGGGCTTGGGGCCCTTATCAGCCACACGGGAGACACCGGTGGAGTTCTGGCCCTGTCCCCACCAGTGCCAGCATCTGGGGAGAGAACAACCGGCTGGACGAGCTGTCTCTGTCTCTGCCTTGCTCTCTCCATCACTCCACCTTTGAAGGAGATGACAACAAAAATTTCAAAATGAACAAGGAATCCAGATTTACAACATGCTGGTTTCAAGTAATTTTTAAGTTAAAAACAAAAATCATTTAAAATGCCCAAATATTGTAATTTTATATAAAGTTTCTATTAAAATAAACTTTTCATGGAAACAAACTGTTTTTCTCTATTGTCACGCATTTCTGAAAACTCCAAACAAAAAGCTGCCACCCATTTGAGTGCTGTGACTTCACAGCCAGCTAAAACCACTTTACATAGGATCTGTCTTCCTATTTTAGTTGAGACAGAAAGAGCTCCCAGGGCTGGCGCTGTGGTACAGCGAGTTAACGCTCTGGCCTGAAGCGCCGGCATCCCTTATGGGCGCCGGTTCTAGCCCCGGCTGCTCCTCTTCTGATCCAGCTCTCTGCTATCGCCTGGGAAAGCAGTAGAGGATGGTCCAAGTCCTTGGGCCCCTGCACCCGCGTGGGAGACCCAGAAGAAGCTCCTGGCTCCTGGCTTCGGATGGGCACGGCTCCCGCCATTGCCGGCCATCTGGGGAGTGAACCATCGGACGGAAGACCTCTCTCTCTGCCTCTCTCTATAACTCTGTCTTCCAAATAAATAAAATAAATCTTAAAAAAAAAAAAAAAAAAAAAAAAAAAAAAAGCTCCTATCTTCCAGTTTAATTCCCAAATGCCCACGACAGCAGGGCTGGGCCAGGCTGAGGCCAGGAGCCTGGAACCTCACCCAGGTCTCCCACAGGGTGGCCGAGACCCAACACTTGAGCCACCACTGCCACCTCCCCAAGTGCACACAGTGGAAGCTGGAACTGGAAGGAGAGCTGGGAATGAAACCAACCACCTGATATGGAATGTGGTCATCTTCTCTTTCTTTTTAGTGCTTGTTTGAAAGGCAGTTAGAGAGAGAGGAGGAGACACAGAGATCCTCCATCCGCTGGTTCACTCCCAAATGGCTGCAGTGGCTGGGGCTGGGCCAGGCCTCAGCTAGGAGCCTGGAACTCCCTCTGGGTGTCCCACGTGAGTGAAGAAGCCACATACGTGGGCCATTTCCCCCCGCTTTCCCAGGTGTACTCGCAGGAGCTGGATCGGAAGTGGACCAGCCGGGACTTGAACTGTGCCCGTATGGGATGCAGGTGGCGGCCTAACCTGCTGCGCGCGCCACAACACCGGCCCCGAATGGGCTCATCTTTACGAGCATCAGTTAACTGCTAGGCAAATGCCCTCCCTCAAACACATCCTTCAAAGGCCAAGTGCGAGCAGGGGTCTGTGTAGATGAACAGAAGGTACAGAGGCAAACATCGGGAAATCAGGGACGCCCGGCCCGGCGGGAATGAGCAGGCTGCTCAGGCGCAGTGATTAGTCAGTGACTGAACGCCGGCTGGGGCCACGCAGGAGACACCCAGGGCAGCACTGAAAAGCCAGCAGAGCCTTAGGAAGCACGGACGTGGCTGGGGAGGGGGGCCCTGTGGTGCGGCGGGTTACGCTGCCACTTAGGGCACCTGGCTCCACCTAGGAGCACGCGGTTCCAGGCCCAGCTGTTCCTGCATGTGATCCGGCTGCCCGCTAGTGCACATGGGAGAGACCTGGGTGGCGTGAACCGGTGGGTGGGAGGTCTGTCTCTGTCTCTCTCCTATCAATGATAAGCACAGATGCCTACATACAGAGAGAGGGAGAAGCCCGGCCTACCTTGTCCAGAACCACGTCACTCTTCCTGAGCTCTAAGACCTTGGAGAGGTAGCGACAGAGCTCAGCATTGGCCTCTCCCTCCGACGGAGGCGCTGCGATGGCGACACTTACGGCTTCAGCGGTCAAATCTGAAATGAGAACAGCGCGCACTTGACCCGTAAGGAGCCCTCGCTCTTCTGCCGACCCTGCTGACCAGGGACGTCCCCTGGATTCCGACACAGGCAAGGCGGCTCCCAGGATCCCACAGGGCTATTCCAGTCTCCTCGCCGGACCTGGGTTCATCTCCCCATGCACCCCGAGGGTCTCAGAATGTACTGTTCACGTAACAAAGACTTACACAGCACTGACCATAAACTAGCTGAATGCACACAGAATGAGGGCACTGGAGCCAAGAGGTACTGCTGAGCAGGCTTCTGGCACAGCGGTCAAGTCGGCCCTTGGGACGCCTGCATCCCATATGGGAGGGCCTGGGTTCGAATCCCAGCTCCTCTGCTTCTGATCTGGCTTCCTGCTCATGTGTATGCTCGGAGCAGCAGGTGAGGCTCCAGTATTTGGATCCTTGCCACCCACATAGGAAACCCGGACCGAGAGGGAGAGAGCTTTTCCATCCACTGGTTCACTCTCCAAATGCAACCAGGCTAGGGCTGGGCCAGGCGGAAGCCAGCAGCCTGGAACTCCACCTGGGTCTCCCACGTGGGCACAGCGGCCCAAGCGCTCGGGCCGTCCTCTGCTGCTTCCCCAGGTGCATCAGGAGGGAGCTGGGGTTAAGTCCGGTGCTCACAGGGTGGGGTCGCGAGCGGCAGCCTCACCCGCCGCGCCACGATGCCAGCCCCACACTGACTATCTCCCGGGATAAGCCTGCCGACTGACCCCCGGCTCCCGCCCCCGCGTCCACACGTACCTGTTACAGCGTTCTGCTTGGCGCCGGGCTTGGCGTGGATGGCTATGGTGACACAACCTTTAGGATCGACGGCCACGGGACCCGAGGGAGGAAGCGGTGCCTCGTGGTCCTTGCTCTGGCTTCTACCCTAAAATGACAACCACCACGCGGCTTGACAGGTCTCCTTCGAGGCTCAGCGGGGGCTGGCCCTCCCCACCTCCCTCGGCGCGGGGCAGGGAGCACCTGCCGCGCATCCCCGTACCCCGGGCAGCGGGAACCCCAGGCGGCCGGCGCTACTCCACGAGGCCTACGAGACGCCGTGTCGGGCCCTGTGCTTCGCTCTACAGACCCGAACGGAGCCCCAGGGCGGAGCGAAGGCAGTGGGGGTGGGAAGACGCCCCGGGACCCGCGGCCCTGGTCCCCGGGAGCTCGGGCTGCGCCGGCCCTGGCCGGGATCCTGCAGAGTCTGAGAGCGGCCGCAGCGGGCCGGGCCGTGCCGGGCCCCCCTCGGTAGGGAGCCTCCAGCCGGGGCCGCTCCTCTCGCGTTCTCGGGGCGGCCCTGCGTCCCACCCTCTGGCCGCCGCCGGGCTCGCCACTGACCTTGCTCGTCGCACCCGCTTTCTTGGGCATCCCGGCGCCGTAATGGAGCCGAGCGTCGGCCCTGACGCCGAGGCCTGCCACAGGTCCCCGCAGCCGGCTGCCCAGCCGCAGCATGCCCGCTCGGGCGGGCGCCCACAGCGCGGCCCGCGCCGGAAGAGCCCTCTGCGCATGCGCACGTGGCAGGCAGGCGCGGCGCCTGCGCCCCGAGCGTCCGCTCCGGCTCGAGAGCGACACCTTGCGGCCGGCGGGGACGGGTCTCGCTCCTCCGGCGCCTGCGCGGGGCCGTGAGCTGGGAGGGGACCGCGGAAACAGGAGCACCAGGGGCCTGAGGTCTGATCGAGAGAAGGAGCCCCGGGGAGTGCACCTCGTGCAGCTTCACCCAGCGCCGTGGGCGCCAGAGCCCAGGTCGGTCCTCCGGAGCTGGCGAGGGCGCAGCCGGTGGCCTGCGGGCCAGCTTCCGTGCACAGGGCGGGCACACAGGTGTGGACAACCCAGGGCCCTCACCCCGAGGGGCCAGGACAGGAGAGGTGAGCCTGAGCCAGAGTAAGCAACACCATCATTTTCCCTCTTGAGATTAGAACAGGGAGGAAAGACCCGACGCCGAGGGCAGCAGGGTGGCAGCTCCTCCGAGCTGTGTTAGGCAGCCCGAGGCTGTGTTGTATTATCTCCATACATTGCAGCTAAACCAAAGGCTGTCATGCATCCCACTTTAGACGACAAATGACAAAAAAGAGAAAAGGATAATGTGCATTTATTTTTTAAAAATTCCAGGGGACGTCCCGATGTCAGTAAACAGCTGGGGTTCCTGCACCTGTGGCCGCATACCGTCACAAGCATGGTTTAGCACAATGCACCCGAGGCACGGGAAGCGCCTTCAACATCAAACCCACAGCTAGTCTGGGTCTGCGCTTTCTAAGGCAGCAGTTCTTTCTGTAAGGGGCACGACAGTGTTCGCTGGCTAGTCTTCAGTTAACCAGAACGACACGTTCCGCGGGCAATCCAGTCGACTGGGGCTGCAGAAGCAGAGAGAGGAGAAAGCCCCCTCCCTCGGCAGCTGCAGGAGGCCTCGGCCCCCACTGCCCACCTTCCTGACAATACACACGGAGCAAGACTCCAGAGGAAAAACGTGTGCATCCCCGTTACTATTTAGAAAATATCAATCATCCTCCACAGCGATTGGATGTCTGCAAACTTACAGACGCTTCCGTTTTTCATAGGATTATCCCTTCCAAGGGAAAAGGTGTGATAGGAAAATCCGCGTCACAAGGAAAGTTGATGAAGCTCTGCTGACTCTCCGCTCCTAACGCAGCTGGGCCGCTCCGGCGCAGGTCGCGCGCGGCGCGCACCCCGCACCCTGCACCGCGCGGGTGCGCTGACCGCGGTGCTGAAGTGGCCTCCGCTCAGTCCCCGCAGCCCCCGGACAGGCGCGGCCGAGCCTCGCAGTCTGTCTACTGAACAGGAATCAGTCCTAGCCCACACCGTTAGGCCCTTTGCTTATATCGCATTATTGCGAATTTATACAAACTCCATTAATAGTTTTACACTGTATTATGTAACACGTTTCTATACTATTACAAAATATCTGTTCCTTTAAATGCATTGACCATTTTCTTGGGCATTTATTAGGTCTATTTTTAGCATCTCTCCAAATGCTAGCCACCAGATATTTCAAACCCCGAATATAAAGTCAGTTTTATTAATTCTTTGAAATTAGTTATGAGAGCTCATTGGGACTGTAGGAATACTGACCCAACTCATCTAACCCTTCCAAACGGCTAAAACAAAAACAGAAAACAAAACCAGCTACATAAAACAAGATGATTCCAGAACTATTCCAAGACTGTGACCCAGCTGACCTAGGAAATTATACAAGGCGGAGCTGAAATAGCTTCGCTTTTGTTTCTATACAATTACACCCAGTTCTCTTCCTCTAAGATTGTAAGAAAATGGAAAACCTGCCTTTAAGTCAGTCATGCAGAGATTGCAATGAACATTTTCCTATCTCCTTTGAGAAACTAAAATGTTTTTTTATTTTACAATTATAAATACTCAAACACTCCAGCTATTTTTGGGGGCCAGTTATTTGTGGTTTTGAGACTAGACGGTATGGTACTACTGAGCTAAGATGTACTGTAATGCTAAACTATGTATAAAATATGATTTCTGGGATTTGTCCATCTTCTATGGAAGTGCCATTGTTATTGCCAGGAGAACTGAAAAATAAGAAAACAGTCTTGCTCGCGGCCGGGGTCTCATGGACCACCTTCTTCAGTCCTTTTGTGCCGTAGTGGGAATCCGGACCCTGAGTGAGAACAAAAGGTTCATGAGCAATTTTCACTTAATAACCCTCAATCTAATGTGCTATTTTAATTAGATTAGTGGTTTACATTCCATTATAGCTCCTACAAAATTTTATGCTAAGTCATTTAATGAAAAACGAAGGTTTTGCCCAAAAGCTAATTAATGAGCACAGAGTGCAGACTGAGTGCAGAGCTCGGCTATTAGGGAGTAAGAGCTCTCAAGAAAGTAATTATTTTCCATTCATTCAGACATTCAAATTTCCTACTCAGACCAGCGGCTACTTCTTAGGCCCATTTCCTTCTGAAGAGCTGTACCGAGGAGCACTTCTTTCCCCAGACCACGAGATAGGTCAGCTCCCAGCCTGCCTTCCACCCCGCTCTGCAGGTGCCTCCCAGCTCCTGAGGCATCCAGGACCGAGCTGGGGCCCCACCAGCGCCGGGGTGTGTGTGTGTGTGTGTGTGTGTGTGCACGCGCACACGCTCTAAGCCGCTCTTACCTTGAGGGTGGCGCACGCTGTGTAGCACACGTTGGGCAGGATTTCTATGGGCTCCTTGAACATGACCCTGAATGTGTTCGCGGTCCCATCACAACTAAAGCCGGTATCATTTTGTCCCAGGGTTTGTTTTTTTTCATATTCAATGATCTGTAAGTTTTGAAAGGTTAATTATAGTTAAGTTAAAGCAGTCGAATGGACCACCGAGTCTGTGCTCTGACTCTCTCTCTCCTGCTGTGAGCCCCAGGAGCAGGGAGGCGCTACTTCCTGCTGGGCAGGAGCTCCAAGTTGGCCTTGGCTGGGGGACAGAGAAGCGTCCCCAAAAGGGCTTTAGAATGTGTGCACTTCACCTAAGGGACATGAGCCTTTAATGCTTGCCAGCTGACGTCTTGTTGCTAGAAAACCCCCTCACCATTGCCCATGTCTTAATGTAATTTACTGGAATTAAAATGACCTTCAGGGGCCAGCGCTGTGGCGTAGTGGGCTAAGCCTCCACCTGCAGCGTCAGCATCCCATATAAGCGCCTGTTTGTGTCCTGCTGCTCCTCATCCCATCCAGCTCTCTGCTATGGCCTGGGAAAGCAATGGAAGATGGCCCAAATACTTGGGCCTCTGTACCTGCATGAGAGACCTGGAAAAAGTTCCGGTCTCCTGGCTTCGGATCAGCTCAGCTCTGGCCATTGTGGCCATTTGGGGAGTGAACCAGCAGAGGGAAGACCTCTCTCTCTATGTCATTCCCTGTCTGTCTGTAACTCTACCACTGAAATAAATAAATAAAATCTTAAAAAGACCTTCAGTCATACTGGATTTGTGAATATTCAAAAAGTAAAAAATCTGTCCCTTCAACTGAGGCCCATCCCTGTGTGGGTGCTGTGGGGCACCCAGTGGAGCTCCTGGTGCTAGAGACAACAGGGAGAGAGCAAGACGTGCGGACGGCGCCAGTGCAGCTGCGCCTGCAGAAGGGAACAGCGTGCAGGCTCAGAGGCCTGTGGAGCCAGAGGATTCTGTGAGAGTGCGCAGGCTCCAGGGAGGAGAGCTTTAGACACCTGCTCAGGAGCTCTGCAGGTGACAAAGCAGGACTCCATCCGTGGGGACAACACATGCAGAGGCAGATGTTCCCAGCCCTACTTTTATACTCTCGAGATGGAAACAGTGCTGGCACTGTGGCGCAGTAGGTTAATCCTCTGCGGTGCCGGCATCCCATATAGGCACTGGTTCAAGTCCCGACTGCTCCTCTTCTGATCCAGCTCCCTGCTGTGGCCTGGGAAAGCAGTGGAGGATGGCTCAAGTGTTTGGGCTCCTGCACCCGTGTAGGAGACCCAGAAGAAATTCCTAGCTGAATTCAGATCAGGCCATCTCAGGCCACTGCAGCCATCTGGGGAGTGAACCAGCAGATGGAAGACCTCTCTCTCGGTCTCTCCCGATGTGTAACTCTACCTCTCAAATAAAAAATTTTTAAGAAAATTAAAAAGGAGATGGAAACAGTAACAGTGAAACAAGCTGAAGCCATGTGTGCTGACTAGGTCAGGACAGGAGCCCCAGTGCGGGCAGGGACTGGGTACTGGGTTCCCAGCGGTGTGCAGTTTATGGAAACTGAGCCCTCAGTACCACTTACAGAATATGCACACTTTTCCTGTGTGTCTATCACAGTTCAATTAAAGAAAAATACTGAAAGGACACACCATGATGGTGCCCTGGAGAACAGCAGAGGGCATGGGATTTGGCTGTGACTGTGCAATCCAGGAAAAAACCACGGGCTTCTCCTGAGCTTCACTCGGATCTTTTCATTTGGGAACGAATCTTGCTTTACCTTCTTCCCAAGATTATTGTGAGAATCAAAGTAACGACACACGACAGTGACTGGCCGAGTGCTAGCACGTTCCACGCAGCCTCGCCGTGGCGTGGGTTCCGCCTGACTGACGGCAGGGAGGAGAGGGAGGCTCACGCAGGTCGCTGATGCGCCCACCGCTATACCTCGCAGGGCTCCCTGGCTTCAGCAGGGCTCTCCATCGCCCTTCACCTGGCAAGACCCAGGGCAGGAACTCTGAAACGTGGGACCTATCAGCCTCGCCTGCCTTCTGCCATTGCCCATCACTCGCCTTTCTGACTCGCTGCTCTCAATACTGCTGTCCGTGGGGATGTTAGAGAAATGGAGATGCACTCAGCCCTCAGTCTGCCGTCTTTCCTTAATGGGGTATGGAGCCAGTGACAGTGCACGGGGTTGACTACTGCTCTTCCAAGCGTGGACAGAAGGCAGCCCCTCTCTCTCTGCCTTTGAAACCCACGTGTCATTGCTACTATAATACAGGCCTTTGGCACTTTCCATCTGTCCAAAGTTGTTCTTGAAGAAGTGCATGTCTGTCCCTTGGGTGTAAGGTGAAGTGGTTCCCTACGAACAGGCGGATGAAGATGATGAATTTGTACAACAAAATGCTGCCTCTGTTGTGCCCAGCCCTGCTACTTCAACGGTACAGACTTCCCGTCCATCTCTGAGGTAGGGACCCTGGGCGGGTACTGTGAACAAGCCCTCCAGGTACTTCCAATAAACAGTCCTGTTTAAATATTTATTTATTTGAATATTATTTAAATATTTATTTATTTGAGTTATGGGGCCGGCGCTGTGGCCTAGCGGGTAAAGCCACTGCCTGCAGTGCCGGCATCCCATATGGGTGCTGGTTCGAGTCCTGGCTGTTCCACTTCTGATCCAGCTCTCTATGGCCTGGGAAAGCAGTGGAAGATGGCTCAAGTGCTGGGGCCACCACACCTGCGTGGGAGATCTGGGGGAAGCTCCTGGCTCCCGGCTTTGGATTAGCCCAGCTCTGGCCATGGAGGCCATCTGGGGAGTGAACCAGCAGATGTAAGACCTCTCTCTCTGTTTCTCTGCCTCTGCCTCTCTTTAACTTTACCTTTCAAATAAATAAGTAATTTTTTTTTTTTAAAGGCAGAGTTACAGAGAGAAAGCAGGAGGGACAGAGAGAGACAGGTCTTCCATCCACTGGTTCACACCCCAAATGGCTACAACAGCTGGGGCGGGCCAGGCAGGAACCAGAAGCTTCTTTGAGGTCTCCCATGTGGGTGCAGGGGCCCAAGCACTTAGGCCATCTCCTGCTGCTTTTCTTAGGCCATTAGCAAGGAGCTGGATTGGAATTGGAGCAACCAGGACTCGAACTGGTGCCCATGTGGGACGCAGACACTGCAGGCAGCAGCTTAACCCACTGTGCCAGCCCCAAACACTCTGTTTAATTGTACTGACTGAGAGGAGTGGAGGGGGAGTCAGGGACATGTGCTACTTAGTAGGTACCTGGTACTGAGACGCCTCCCATTGGAAGGGCCGGGACTACAGTTAAAACAACTGCAGGAGGGCTAACTCTGGATCTTAGCCTCAGAGCGGCTTTGGATAGCCTTGGTGCTGTTGGGGTTTCTGAAGATTTGCCATCATTGGTCAGCATTTACAAATGCGACAAGGGGAGACTCCACAGAGCAGGCAGTACTCCGGCTCCTGAAGACACAGCAGCTGCTCTGCACCCTTGGCCTTACGACCCCACTGCGACCTCCGGCAGGTGCTCAGCACTGCTGCCCCTTTAAACAGGCTCCAGCCACAGCGGGGGGGGGGGGGGGGGGCTCAGCCTCGTCCTGTCCCCACAGCCCTGACACCCCGCCCTCTGGAGTCTCAGGAGGTGCTCTGAAGACTGCCCCCCACCCCCAGGCCTGCTCGCTAGCCTGCTGTCTAGCCTGCTCAAGCAAGCGCTTGGGCTCTCCTGCACAGGATGTTAGCCACCACTTCCACTTCCAATCCAGATCCCCGCTAATGGGACGGTGCGGCCGTCTGCACGTGGCTGCCCTGCACCACCCAGGCCGAGGCCGCTATTCGGGAAACTAATGATCTATTTTGATCACAAGGCTCAGTCCACCCAAGTTCTCACTATGAAAAGTACAGCAGCAACATTTTAGAAGATTTTTATGTTGATAAACCAAAGTTTGAAATATTGCTTCCTTTTCTCCTATTTTTTAATTTTCACATAAAATATGTCTAGCACTGCATATAATTTGTAGATAAACTACGATATAGTTGTGTTTTCAGAAATAATTCTGCTAGTTGGGGTGAGCAGTCCACAGTGCAGAGACACTGTCTGATGAAGCAGGGTTGGGGAGAGAGGGCTGGCACTTTCCTCCAGACGGGTGCCAGCGCCCTCGCTCAGCACGGCAGGGTTTGGGCAGACACCTGGGAGTTGGAGGAAGCTCCCAGGGTTCAAAGCACAGTGGAACCTGCGGGTAGTGGTTTCAGGGCTGCCAGTCGCAGCAGGAAGTACTAACACAGGGCGCCCTTGACCTGGGAGAGCACCCTGGGCCCTGTGGCCGCTGGGAAGGAGCCTGGGTCTCTGAACCCAGATTTTTTAGATTTTGTTAAACATTCTTGGCTCAAAATGATTCTAACGGGCTTTCTGATGCCTTTGATCTTGGAAATTTGGATTTCTGGCAAAACCCAAACCTTACTGTAGAAGTGCGTGCTTTACCCGCCTGCAGACGCTACGGCGGGCGAGCGTACCTGGATGTTCACTTGATAATCCGTGGGGCCATGGATGGATCCGTACAAGCCAAACCCAACGATGGAGATTCTTCTGTTCACCGTGAACCTGCGGGAGAGAAGCCAGACAGAAACTCATGTCAACAACCCCACAGGAGCTCCAAACCATGATTTTCTAAGTGTCATCTGGAACATCCAACCTTGCTTATAAAAAGGAAAACGGTGACAAATTAGTGATCCCTGAGAACGCCCTCACTTCCTAGAGTAAAGGCGAATTTAACCGGAGCTTAAGTCCACTTTGCTCTCTGTCCTCGCAGAGAACAGAACCCAAACTTCCGCCGTGTGGTCACGGCCGTCCCAGGGCCACGCCGGCACCAGCGTGTGTGCACTGGCATCGGGGACACGAGGGTCAGCGCCCCCACCACGACCCCTCCTCCCCTCACTGAATGCTCACTGCGCAGCTACCGCACGGAGGACCTGGCTCAGCACTTGGGGGGTGGTGCCCGCACACCATGTCTACCCACTGGACGGACAGCCTCACGAGGGACACAAGCAGAGCTAGGAGCAAAGGCCACAGGAGCGGGCGGCAGTGGGAGGGAAGCCGGCTGCTGGAGGGCTCGGGGCAGGGCCCAACTTACTCCAGTGCCAGAAGCATGAGTCAGTGCAGTTTGGGGGTCAGAGTTAGGAAATACGGACCCGTCTCACCCCATTTTATCCCGGTGTGAACACTGACAGGAACACACAGACTGCAACATCAGAGACGCTCTGCGGCGTGCCCCACATCTGCACATGGTCAGCCACAACTCAGCTGTGAAGGCGAACACCCGGCACGCCACAGCCACGGAGGGAGCACCCCTCCCGACTTTCTGCAGAGTCCTCATGTTTTTGAAATCTTTTTCATGTAAAATAGTAAATTTTTTTTTTTGACAGGCACAGTAGACAGTGAGAGAGAGAGAGACAAAGGTCTTTCTTTTGCCGTTGGTTCACCCCACAATGGTCGCTGCAGCTGGCGCACCGCGCTGATCCGAAGCCAGGAGCCAGGTACTTACCCTGGTTTCCCATGGGGTGCAGGGCCCAAGCACTTGGGCCATCCTCCACTGCCCTCCCTGGCCGCAGCAGAGAGTTGGCCTGGAAGAGGGGCAACCGGGACAGAATCTGGCGCCCAGACCAGGACTAGAACCTGGGGTGCCTGCACTGCAGGCAGAGGATTAGCCTAGTGAACCACGGCACCAACCAAAATAGTAAATTATTAATACTAATATACTACATCTACTCCTTGGTTGGATAACCCAGGATACTTGCAGTTTTTATTACTGTAAATAATGCCATGGTGAACAATCTGAGAGCTGAATCAATAAACAAAGCCTTAATTATTTTTCCCTAGAATAAATTCCTATTATAATTGTTGGTGAAAATGAAAAGTGCATTTCTGTTGGTTTTTTTTTTTTTTTTCCTTTTCTTTATTTGAAAGACAAGCACAGAGACAGAGAGAGAGAAAGAATTCTCTCATTTTTTGGTTCACTCCTCAAATGCTCACCAACAGCTGGGACTGCACTAGGCTGATTCCAGGAGCTGAGAACTCAGGTTGGGTTCCCACGGGGGTGTCAGGGACCCACTGCCTTTCCGGAGTGTCCCTCAGCAGGAAGCTAGAGCTGGGATTCAAACTCAGGGACTTCAAAGTGGGCACTGGCATCCCAGGCAGCACCTGCCCCCAAAGGCACATCCACGACACTTGAGGCAAACAGCGTCACACTGCTTTCTGGAAGGCACCACTTGGCTCCCATAAGGAATAAGGGTTCTTTCTTCCTCCCTTCCTCTCCATTTTTCTTTCTTTCTTTCTTCCTTCCTTCCTTCCTCTCTTTCTCTTTCTCTCTCTCTCTTTCTTTCTCTCTCTCTTTCCTTCCTTCCTTCATTCGTTCGTTCGTTCTTTCGTTTCCTTCCTTCTTTCCTTCCTTCCTTCCTTCCTTAGGCCATTGCTATGGCTACTAGGCTAATCCTCTGCCTGCGGTGCTGGCACCGGATTCTGTCCCGGTTGCTCCTCTTCCAGGCCAGCTCTCTGCTGTGGCCCGGGAAGGCAGTGGAGGATGGCCCAAGTGCTTGGGCCCTGCACCCGCACGGGCGACCAGGAGGACGCACCTGGCTCCTGGCTTTGGATGGGCTCAGCAAGCAGGCCGTAGTGGCCATTTGGGGGGTGAACCAATGGAAGGAAGACCTTTCTCTCTGTCTCTCTCACTATCTAACTCTGCCTGTCCAAAAAAACAAAACAAAACAAAAAAAACAAACCAGATTCATTTATTTATTTGAAAGTCAGAGTTACACAGAGAGGAGAGGCAGAGAGAGAGGTCTTCCATCTGATGGTTCACTCCCCAGGTGGCTGCAACAGCCGGTGCTGCGCCAATCTAAAGCCAGGAGCCAGGAGCTTCTTCCAGGTATCCCACACAGGTGCAGGGGCCCAAGGCCTTGGGCCATCCTCCACTGCTTTCCCAGGTGCATTAGCAGAGAGGTAGATTGGAAGTGGAGCAGCTAGGACTAGAACCAGTGCCCATATGGGATGCCAGTGCTGCAGGCCGGGGTTTTAACCTGCTGTGCCACAGCGCTGGCCCTTGCACTGGCTCTTTAATGAAACACCCACTCATGCTTTTTTCCTCATTTTTCTCCACTTGACACATTTTCTTATTGTAGGTTTGAAAGAGCACATGATGCAGAGGTTATGGCTGTTTATGCTTTTGTGTAAGTATAAATTACAACATGTCTCCCATTTGTCATTTATCTCCTAATTTTATGGTGGTTTTAGACAAATACTTTCCAAACTTATAGTCAAATTATGAGCTGTGCCAAGTTCCGAGAGGGCCGTCTCAGCTGTTCTGGCACAGTCACCGTTCAGTTCTTATCTAGTGTTAGAATTTAACCTGCATGGGTACTGCTGCATGAGACCAACAAGGCACTAAACGTACTGCTCCCGTAGTTACGTCTTCCCTTCCTTCTACTGTCTTCTTTTTTATTTATTGACAGGCAGAGTGGACAGTGAGAGAGAGAGACAGAGAGAAAGGTCTTCCTTTGCCGTTGGTTCACCCCACAATGGCCGCTGCGGCTGGCGCACCGCGCTGATCTGAAGCCAGGAGCCAGGTGCTTCTCCTGGTCTCCCATGGGGTGCAGGGCCCAAGCACCTGGGCCACCCTCCACTGCACTCCCTGGCCACAGCAGAGAGCTGGCCTGGAAGAGGGGCAACCGGGACAGAATCCGGTGCCCCGACTGGGACTAGAACCTGGTGTGCCGGCGCCGCAGGCGGAGGATTAGCCTAGTGAGCCGCGGCGCCGGCCCCTTCTACCGTCTTCTAAATGCCCATTAGGAGACAGTGAGCTCTGAGTTCTGCTGTTTCATACAACACTAACTTCTTACAGCTGTACCACACTTTCTCCTATGTGATCTGTCCTCTTTTTTTAAAAGAGAAACATCTGGGGCTGGTGCTGTGGCGTAGTAGGCTAGGCCTCCGCCTGTGGCACGGGAGTTCCATATGGGCGCTGGTTCGTGTTCTCGCTGCTTCTTTTCCAATCCAGCTCTCTGTTTATGGCTTGCGAAAGCTGTAGAAGATGGCCCAAGTCCTTGGCCCCTGTACCCACATGGCAGACCAGGAGGAAACTCCTGGCTCCTGGCTTTGCTTTGGTCCATCTCCGGCTGTTGTGGCCATTTCGGGAGTGGACCAGAGGATGGAAGACCTTTCTCTCTGTCTTCCCCCTCCCTGTCTGTAACTTTGCCTCTCAAATAAATAAATAAATAAATAAATTCTTAAAAATAAAAAGATATGGCCGGCGCCGTGGCTCACTAGGCTAATCCTCCGCCTAGCGGCGCCGGCACACCGGGTTCTAGTCCCGGTCGGGGCGCTGGATTCTGTCCCGGTTGCCCCTCTTCCAGGCCAGCTCTCTGCTGTGGCCAGGGAGTGCAGTGGAGGATGGCCCAGGTGCTTGGGCCCTGCACCCCAAGGGAGACCAGGTAAAGCACCTGGCTCCTGGCTCCTGCATCGGATCAGCACGGTGCACCGGCCGCGGCGGCCATTGGAGGGTGAATCAACGGCAAAGGAAGACCTTTCTCTCTGTCTCTCTCACTGTCCACTCTGCCTGTCAAAAAAAATTAAAAAAATAAAAAAACAAAAAAATAAATAAATAAAAAGATAAACATTTACCCTTCCAAATAACTTTAAAATAATTTTGTCAAGTCATGCCCTCCTACTAGAAACATGTAGTTTCTCAGAGGTACTGCCGAGTATCTACAGGTTAACTTGGACGACATCATCCTTGTTAAAGGCCTGATTCAAGTTCTCCATTTCTTCATAAATGCACCACACCGAACATTTCTCACTGAGTTTCATCCCACTTTATGTTGTTAGTGCTATGAATGGCGTTACTCATAGTGTTACAGCACTACTCAGCATACACTATAATACCTATTACTACAGCAAAGTAATGTCTATAACAGTAATACAATTTTTAAACTGTAATACTATTATATTTACAGCGCATAACATTTGCTACATACACGTGAATTTTTACCGAGATGAAATGTATGTAAGATGTACATTTTCAAGTGTGCAGTTCTGTGGCATCAAGCAGCTACTGCCATTATTCATCCCTATGTGAGCCTTGATGAATGAGAACGTCAATGGTTTCCACACACACATTTTCTGAGCAGCCAGCAATCTCCTGTATTGGTTCTAATAGATTTATTTAGGTTGATCTGTTGCTCTCAAAGGGGGTCCTGCCCCCAAGGAGGCAGCCTGTGCTTGCACAAAGGTTTAGGGCCTCAACTGGCAAGGAGCCAGCGAGACCAGACGTCCAATACTTCACACAAATCTCCCATAATAATAATAATAATAAATCCCAGTTGTCTGAAGTGTCTGGCCAGAGTTCATGTAGGTAAATTTATCTGTGACTAATCCTTGAGCCTATTTCATTTATAAGTCAAAGATTTGTTAGTGTATTAACATTTACTGACTTTTACAAGAGGCAACTACCATATAAATAGTAGTCAGTTCTTATGATTTGTGATCCTTAGGTTGTATGAAGTCACAAATACTGAACCACAGCTCCTGGGGGATATATGTACATTTGTACACACATACACAGCAAGGACACACACACATCTCACGTGTACCAGCATCTTCAGTCCTAAAAACAACTCATCCTAGGAGCTTCTACTGTATTTTATGACAGAGAAAATGGGGTTCAGGAGTGTCAGCTGACTCACCGGAGGCTGCACACTGACAGCTGCCAGGGCTGGGATTCTCATCCTGCGCGTCCAGCCAGAGAGCCAGGGTTTCCTGCACCAGCCCAACTGCTCCCTCCGCAGGGAGCGCTGGGGGGAGGCCTGACCTCAGTCAACTGCAGCTGGGAACATGCTGGTCTGGCCACCTGACTTTTTTACTGAAAAGACTATGAAAAGGCCCTGAGCATTGACTGCATGGTCACCAATGAATTCCAGCAAGAAGGCGAGGTCATAACACAGAAGCTGTGAGTAAAGAGGTTTTATCTGAACCCCTAAACACAATGACAGCAAAGGCAGCAGTGCTGCCCACGATAGTGGAGACAGGAGTCTAATGCACCCTCAGCCGCAGCTGTCTCATCACCGGTAAGTGCGCACCTGTACTGCACCTGACGCCGACCAGCCATCCTCTAGTGTTGGCCTGCACAAAGAGGTCGCCACCTGTTTTATGTTGCTCTCACTGGCATTTACTTCTCCTTTACACAATGTAGCCATTTATCAGTTTAAAACATATGTGTGAAGAATATTCCTTAGAATTTCATCTCAGGTTAGTAAAGAGGGAATTACTAAATGTTTATTATAAAAAAGGAGGAACTGGGAGGCTGGTGCTGGTACAGCAGGTTAAGCCGACACCTGTGATCCCATATAGGTGCTGGTGGAGTCCCCGCTGCTCCACTTCCAATCCAGCTCCCTGCCAATGCTGGGAAAGCAGCAGAAGACAGTCCCAGTGTTTGGGCCCCTGCCACCAATATGGGAGACCCAGTCTCCTGGCTTTGGCGTGACCCAGCCTTAGCCATTGCCACCATTTGGGCAAACAGTGGAGGGAAGATCTGTCTCCCTCTCTCTCTAACTCTGCCTTTCAAACATATTTAAATTTATTTTTTTAAGGATTTGATGGAACTAGGAACTACTGGTGCACATGTCATCAAATAATCAAAAAGGCCTCTTCCTTCCAAGAGTCAAGCATCTAACTGCGTTACCCTTTAACACCACATCGATCAGGATTCCAGTAACTGCTGAAACACAGCAGACAGCAGAGACCCCAATCCTGAGGCTTCAGTTGTCTACCATCTCCTAGACTCAATCTACGAAGAGTTATGTCTGGAATACAGGTGAGATTTCCCCAGGCGCCTTTCCAACATCTGCTCAACCCAAACTACTCCTCTGACCTGCTCTGTGACGAGCGATGCAATACGTTCCGGACCACCAAGCCATTCCTTCACTGTTTGCTCCTGCAGGCCTCGTCTAAGGAGCTGCTGGAGTCAGTATGCCACCCCTGACACACAGTAGCTTCTGTGTGTTGAATGCGGCTGCGTCAGTATACATTTGTCTCTCAGATTCCTACAGAAGGATTCTGCTTCCTTCAATCGTCAACTACAGTGTGCTTTCTTCTTCTGAGGCTTATCTGTGCCTGGAGGGTTTGGTAAAACTCACCTGTAAAAACCACCTTGTGAAGGGACAGTTCTTTGATAACTTTTAATTCCTTCCATGGTAACTGGTCTAGTCACGTTTTCTTCTTCAGTCAATTTTGATAATTTATATTTGCCTATAAAATGATCCATTCCATCAATATGTTCAATTTGTTAGCACAGAGTAAATCCAGAGTTCAAATAAAAATTGCGTATGATTATATTCCCATTTTGACTTCTATTTTCTTTACTATCTTTACAGATATTTACAATATCTGTAAATTTATAATATTATTTTATTGGTGTTTTAAATTCTATTTTTTAATTAATTTCTACATTTTTGGCATCCTTTTCCTGGGGTTCTTTGCTATTCATTTTCAAGCTTCTGAGTTGAATGTTTGTATTACTTATTTCTACTCTAACTTATTTACTAAAATTAATGAACTATTATGTTTTCTTTGTGTGCCGCTTTGATCTCGTAACCTAACTTTTACATATAGCATTCTCATTGTGAATGATCCCAAAACAGTGTACAAATCATGCTTTATTCCCAAGACTTGGAATAGTCGCCCCCTAGAGTTCTATTTTTAAACAAACGCGCTATTTCCACTTTTATATTAACTTGCTACTAAATAACTGAAAATCCAGAAGGTATGTTTTAGGAATACCAATCTGTTTCTATTTTGGCATTTAACACAGTCCTAAGATAAATTAAATTAAACACAGTCCTAAGATAAATTCCTCAAAAGGATTCTATGCTGGCATTTTTCAAGACTCGATTTTTTTTTTTCAAATTCAAAGCTTCTATAAATGGATACTAAAATTTTTCATGCAATGTTTAAATACTCACACTAAATGTAGTAAGGTTAAATTTATTAGTTTTAGCCTCAAGCCTGTAAAGATAGCAGTTGATCATTAAGGTCTGGCACTCAGCTCGCCAGCAGTGGCGAGCCAAACAATTCACGTAACAGGAGACGTTTTCCTAGGAGGTTACCCTCACTCACAATTCGGTGAGGAAAACCGTATGCCTGGTGACTTCTTGACTCATATATTAACTTGAAGATGTATTAAATGAGTATGAAATAAAATGCTGGTCATCATCTCCCACGAGTGCCACGCCCAGCGCCCGAGGATACCTGATGCGATCGCTGGTTCCGCTGTAGCCCCAGCGGCTCTCGACCTGCTGGAATCTGTTGATGCAGCACTCCTTGCCCCGGAGGCAGCAGCGGGGCCGGTCAGTGTACTCCACGCGGGGTTTGGGATTGACCGTGAAGTGAAGAAACAGGTTCACCACTTCACGATCCGACAAAATGCCAGACTGAGCAGGGCCTGTGAAGTAAAGACGTAGAGTCTCAGAGCAGGAAGAGAAGCCTTAGCTTACAGAAATGTCGATAAATCCACCTGAGGTTAACCTAACAGAATATCAGTGTTAAAATCCTCAATAAGTCACAGCTTAGATGAAACCCTAAGGCAAGCGAAAGATCTCTGGGTCCTTCTATCCGCTCTCCACAGACTTCTGTTCAGCAGAGGAGCAGGGTCATTCCCTGTGCAGTGGAGGTGGGGAAATGCTCACCACGGCAGCCAGGCCATCGTCCTGCCCTCTCCCCTCACCTGTCTGCAATGCAACCTGTCTAGAGATGGGAACAGACAAGGAACAGTGCCTCATTTCTGGGGCTGAGGAGTTGGCAGAGGGCAGGAGCTAAGACTGGAAGACCTATGGAGGCAGCATATGACATATGCTACAGTTTTCCCACACACTCTCTCAGAGAAGAGAAACATTCCAAATGCCTTAAAGTTAACCAGGAATGAATTTGGTTCCTTATAAAAGATATCAGGAGATCCCTCCAAAGACCAATGAAAGCAATCTAAATAAGAGGCTGCAAAACACTAGAGAGTTGGTTTAAGAAGCCATAATTCACACTTTCATGTAAAATCTCGATCTTACTACATGAGGTTAGTATTTTAAAAATCTGACACATAGGAGTGGACGTTCAGAGAAGCAGTCACAATGATGCTTGGAACGCCGACACCCCACACCAGAATGACTGCATTCAAGTCTTAGCTCTGCTTCTGATTCCCGCTTCCTGCTCCTGTGCACAACGGGAGGCCAAGTTCTTGCGTCCCTGCCACTGACATGGGAGTGCCTTTCAGTTAGGTGAACAGAGAAAATATCATGCCACCCTGCCAGACCTGGTCCCAAGGATCACTGTTTGTAATTTCTAAAGACCGTAAAGAAGGAAAATAGAAAATTTAATTTAAACTTAAAATCTACATTTTAGCAAAAAAACAGAAGTAGCATCACATATCAACAGAAAGATGGAAATGAAAACTCATCTGACTTTATCAGAATGATGAGGACCAATATACAAGGGATTTTAAGAAAAAGATGTATTTATTTTGAAAGAGTTACGAGGCAGGGGGAGGAGGGGAGAATTTTCCATCCACTCGTTCACTCCCCAGATAGCCACAATGGCCAGAGCTGGGCCAGGCTGAAGCCAGGAGCTTCATCTGGGTCTCCCACACAGATGGTAAGGGCCTAAACACTTGGGTCATCTTCCGCTGCTTTCCCAGGCCACTAGCAGGGAATTGGATTAGAAGTGGAGCAGGCAGGACACCACCCAGAGCCCATATGGGATCAGCATCACAGGTGGCGGCGTTAACTACTACACCACAATACCTGCCCTCTAAAAAAGGAATAGAATGTTTACAATGATTAACATGCTTGATAAATGGGCTGGCGCTATGATGCTGTGGGTTAAGTTGTCACTTCTGATGTCAGCATCCCCTATTTGGGTGACGGTTCGAATCCTGGCTTTTCTGTTTCCGATTCAGCTTCCTGTTAATTTGCCTGGAAAAGCAGGGGGTGATGGTTCAATTATTACTTGGGTCCCTGCCACCCATGGGGGAGACCCAGATGGAGTTCCTGCTGTTAACAATAGCTCTGGCTGCTGTTGTGAGCATTTCCTGGCTCCTAGCTTCAGCTTGGCCCAGCTCTGGCTATTGTGGCCATATGGGAAGTAAACCACAGGATGGAAAATTTCTCTCTCTCTTTCCTTACTCTGCTTTCACATGTATCAATCAATCAATCATAGAAAAATATATAAATAAATAAAAATAAGTGGTAAAAAGCTGCGCTCAACCTACAGATAACTAGCAGTACTGAAGAAATGGTGATAAGGAATAAGATGGTGCAGCAATTCAAGGTGCTAATAAGAAAATTTCCTTAGCGGAGAAACACAAGTCCTCAGACAATGCAAAGCTTCTCAGGTGTTACCCATGTACCTACCAAATAAAACAAAACAAGATGCACTCCTGTTAACTGAGGGCTCAATCAAAATAAAGAATGCAAGGAAGTGTATGTCAGATAAAAAGACACACCACACACAACACCTTCAAACAGCTGAAAACACAAAGACGTGTGAAATCTTAAAAGCTCCAGAAAAAAAAGATACATTAGTTAGACAGAATAATTAAGAAATAATGGACCACAAAAGGAAACAGCATAATATTCAAAAGATGAATGACAATAACTGCCAACCTAGAGTCCCCTATCTAGAAAATATGCTTCAAGACTGAAGGTAGAGGGAGGGCCTTTGGCCTAATGGTTAGGACACCTGCATCCCACATGGGAGTGCCTGGGTTCTAGTCATGGCTCTGGCTCCTGACTCTAGCATCCTGCTAATGCAGACCCTGGGAAGGCAGTGGTGATGGCAAGTGGTTGGGTTCCTGCCACTCATGTGGGAGACCTGGATTGAATTTCCAGCTCCCTGGCTACTGCAGGGGAGTGAACCAGCAGAGTGAACCAGGGAGTTCTCTATATATTTCTGTTCCTCTCTCTGCCTCTCAAATAAAATAAATTTTAAAAGAAATTAAAAATTTTAAAAGAAAATAAAAAAAAAACTGAAGGCAAGATAAAGACGTTTTGGGACCACTGCTGGGTGCCAGCATTCCATATGGGCACCAGTTCAAGTCTCGGCTGCTCCACTTCTGATCTGGCTCCCTGCTAATGCGCCTTGGAAAGCAGTGGAAGATGGCCCAAGTACTTAGGCCCCTGGCTTTGGATCTGCCCAGCTCTGGCCCTTGTGGCCATCTGGGGAGTGAACCTGCGGATGGAAGATCTCTCTCTCTGTGTAACTCTGCTTTCAAATAAACAAATCTTTAAAACAGCAATAATGACATGACTTAAAATTTATGAAGACATAAAATACATCAAACAGTAGCACCAAAGGCTAGAGAGGATTCAATGTAGTTAATGAGGTCCTTGCCATGTGTCGGAAAACTTAAAACTTTAAGATTTAACTTAAAAATCTACTAAGAACATATTCTTATAACATCAAGTGTAACCCACTGAAGCAATCATAAAAGAATGTTTAAAAAGTGGATGGAAAAAATAAAATAAAAATAATTTGATTCCTCCAAAGAAAGAAAGAAAAAAAAAAGCATCCAAAAACAGATGAGGCAGGGCGAGTGTCTGGCCCAGCAGTTAAGATGCGGCTAGGCCACCTGCATCCCTCTCTGAGGGCCTGGGTTCAGTCTCAGCTCCTCTCCTCGTCCCCGCTTCCTGCGAATGCACACCCTGGAGGCAGCAAGTGATGGCTCAAGCAGCCGGGTCCTTGCTACACAGGTGGGGACGGATTTATCAGCTCCTGGCTCCCAGCTTGGCCTGGCTGAGCTCTGGCTGTTGCATATATTGGGGGAATAAACCAGTGGGTGGAAGATCTGTCTCTACCTTTCACATAAAATTTAAACAAATTTAAAAACAAAACAAAAAAATAGCAGAATCAAAAGGAGACATGTTCCTGATCATAACCAAAAATTTTAACCAACTTCTTTCAGTAAGTGATATAACAGACCAAAATAACCCACACACAGATAGAAAATGTGAACATCATTAGCATATTTCTTTCACAGCTACAGGATTAATGTTGAACATTTATTTATCAAATTAATGTTGAACATTAATTTGTTGAACAGATACAGAAATAGTTCAATTTTTCTGCCTCCAACATCTCAGAGCACATTCTGAATATGCATGGATAGTTATGAAAACACATATGCCAGGCCATAAACAAGTCTCAACAACTTTCAGCCTTACAGGACAAATGACTTAAATGTTCCTGAGCACAGGCTGAAAACCCTGGTCCAAGTATTTATCTCACAAAGTCATAAGAACTAACTACATGACCCCAACCAAATTAGAATTAAAGAAAGGAAATAAAGA